ATCTTGGCATTTCAAAGAAGGTTACCATTTCAGCTAGTTTTTTAATAATTTTTATTAAAAAAAAAGGACCTCTTTTGCTCTTTGCTCTCCCACTGCAATTTTGATTTTTGAAATTTATCGACATTTTGCCATTATTTACTGAAAGCAGCAACTTCACCAGAAAAAACATTACAGTTAAACAAAAATGAAGGACACAGCGCGTAAAAATGTGAAAAAGGAATTAATAACGGATAAAAACACTATACTACCGAAAAAACCAAGACCGCCTGAGCGACCCGTGTTACAGCTCTCTATTTCTAATACGATTGTCTTCGAATAAGACGCTTTGTTTCCGTACACTGCTGTGTTGCATCAGCCTATTTCAGGCACTACAAGAAAATGGTACTTATGTTCTGGTTCATAGTGCCAACATTTGTGCCGATGCTTCTTTGGGGTGAGTCATTCGTGGTCGCTTTCTACACCTGCACACTTTTGAGGTTTGTCTTTTTCGATTGTTATTTTCCCACTAATTTTTCTCACATGCAGCGATTTTCAGTAGCGTTTGAAGCATCTCTTTTCTTCACTAATTTTATAGCTAACGTATTGCGAAGCTTTTGTTCCTACTTCAAAGTCTTTTTTTTCTCTTTTTGAAGCTGTTCTTTCAATTTTGTACTAATATTGTTCCACACTGTTAGATGGACTCACAGTTCTCTCAAAACTGATGATCGGAGGGGAAATTAGCATTTTGGTGAATCGGAATGAAAATAAATGTTCAAAACTTAGGGACTTTCAATCGGTTTGGATTAAATTAGGGATTTTCTTTCCAGAGTTTGAGAATGCCAGATTTTTTTGATTTCGGAATATGGAATTTGCCGAACAGCCTGAGATGCAGAAGTCAGTGATCAGAAACATCTGAAAGTTGATTTCAGCTTCGCCAGCTCATACGCGTTTGAGGACTTTCTTCATAAAATTTTAGCTAGATTCCTGATTCTACAGTTGAATACTTGGTAAGACAGATGGACACATACACAACACATACGCGCACACACACACACATACACACATATGCATATAGACGTATATAAGCATGCGATTCTATTTCTATGCACCTTTGCATCTTGATGGAGTACAAAAACGCACTGAACTCAGTTACACTTGCTCACAAAACGCATGAGCTCCTTGTGCACGCCGTTTTCAGTATTTTGCAAATTTGACTGCCTGTAATGATGAGTACTTACGACAGATAT